TCTTGTATTTAGTCCACGTCTCGAGTAGTTTTCCCCAGATCTGTCATCGTCAATTCCCATGTGTGAGTTTCCGTCTTGTTCGTTTGCCTCCAGATAAACCCCGTTTTGTCTGTCAACCTGGCTGCTCTTGCCTCTCTCACCGGCTCGTCTACTCGCACCGTGACAATATGTATGATGTTCTCTCATTTACTAAGTAAAAGTGGGGCTGCATTTCAAAATAAGAGAAAATAAATAAAACGTGAAAATAGTTCATGTTTAAATAAAGTGCTTAACTTCAGAAAAATAAAATAAAAGGAGGAAAGTTTGAATTTCCCCTTTTTCTCATATCGTCTTATAGTTGTCGGAGTAACAACGCAAATGGAATGACAAGCCATTTCAGGCGAAACGGTGCATTTTACATTTCATTTCAAATAAAACGCGGGGTTGCAAACTTCGGCCCCCTGGTAAAATGAGGCCTTACATCATTTATGTAAAATGATCGGCACAAAAGCTTATGGGACCAAGAACTGTAAAATATGAAATTTACTGATGAAAGGTTTCTTTTTGACAAAAGAGTAAGATACATACTGACAAGGTTTACGACAAATGACACGATTGTGCTAGTCCTCATTGCTGAGAACAGGGTTCTACAGGAGATGGTCCAGTATGCGCTAGGTTGGGTCAGGGCAGGCAGGGAATGGCGTGTGGGACTGACCTGGCTATGCACTGTGCTAAGCTGGCTGTTGAACGTCATGGTGAGATTTGTGGAGGTCCCGGGGGCCACATGAGAGATAAAGGGGGTCTTGCTCTGGTTGACTGCATCATACATGCTGACTCGTCGCTTGCAGATGTCCATGTTCTGGAAGCAGGATTTAACGCTGGATGAGGGGGAAGGGGTGAGGGGAAGAAGATAAAAATCAGATGAGAAGCTGAGAGATCGGGATGAACATTACATTACCCATCCTTAACCAGTCATGCCTATAAGGACTTAACAGAATTATGTGAAAAAGGGGAAACATAAAAGGGAATTAGAGTGATCCTGCCATTTTCATCACATCTTGTATATTCTGCTTTAATCTACTTTAACAATTTGAAGATTTACAGATGGATGTGTTTGTCTTCTGTGACCATCATCACAAGGCTCAGACATTTTCCACAGTTCAGCAACCATCTGATTTATTGGAACTTTCCTAAACAGACTTTTCTGAAGGCTACAGTAGAGGACATGGTTGTACTGGGAGAACAGCTAAACGTCCTGCTTAGCAGAGCCTCTAGCTTGACCTACCGAGTGCTGTGGGGGAAGTCGAGCAGGTGTGTCATGGTGACGAAAGGGTGGTTCAGTGTCTCAATGGGGGTGATCCTCTTGTCTGCATCTATGGTCAGCATCTTGGTCAGAAGGTCGATGAATTCCCGCCGGTCAGACTTCTCTGCCAACATGTCGTTACCTTCCAGGTCAGTCACCATATTAACCTGTGAGAAGCCATGGGAGGAGCCACTGAGTGACCAAGTCATGTCCCCCCCTTCAGAGAGGCTTGGAGAGATCCATGTATTCAGTCATTGCTGTGTCCTGTAATGTACAAGCAAAGAGCTCCTTACAAACCAGGACAGACTACATAGAAACCAGCAATCTAGTTACTTAAGGAATGTCCTATCAGATAAAAAAAAAAAAAAAAAAAAATGTTAAAAAAGCTGGTGTCGGACTGTGTCCAATAATTTCTGAAATGGTTCATCCGTCAAACATTCACAAACAATGTATCACAATTAATATTATTCATAACATTAATCACTGATGTACCACTAAGTGCTGGAGAGGAAAGCAAAAATGTGTGTGTGTGTGTGTGTGTGTGTATGTGGGGGGGGGGGGGGGGGGGGGGGGGGGGGGGGGGGTGGGGGGGGTATACAGCACAGTCCATGGGCCACGTCTGAGGTCCGAGGGAGAAAGGCATGCCTGTCACTGGGAATTTCACACTGACAGGCCGTCCCAGATTCCTCGACGGCTCTTATCTGCAGCTGTCTCCCATCCACTATCTGATGCGCTTCCAGTCATGGCCTCACACCTTATTTACAATCCCCACCCCCAGTTAGTCTACCCCCCCAGCCCATTTCCCACCTTTATGTCATGTGATAAAAGTCACAGGACGTGGGTACAGGTCACTACTGTCTATGGTGGAGTACAGTGCTGACAGTAAGTGGGAGATGCATGTCATTCCAGATTAATATGCCCCACACATACTAATGTGCAGGAGTCCTCAGAAGCCATCATTTATCATATTATTTCTCAGCATCTGACATTAATGACTGTACATCTTTTTTAAGCAAAATAAGAACCTCAAATAATAAACAATTCATAATTAAGCTTCACATTGATAACACACAGATCCTCCCAAAAAGGGATTTCAGCTGGAGTCTCAGTGCATCTCCTGAGGGCCACTGGATTCCTCACAGTCCAGAGAATCACAATCCCATAATCCTCTTTTATAACCTCAGCACTGAAGGGGTGCCAAACTGCTAGCATCTCCACATCTGTCAAGCAGGGGCTGTGTTTCTGGGGGGGGTGGGGGATGGGGCACCGCCAATGCTGAAAGTGGAGGAAAATAAAGAAGCAGTGGGACGCGACGAGTAGCGGGTTTCTTCATCATATACAAGCAGTCAAGGGTGAAAAGGTCTATGGCCCTCAGCTCCATCCCACCCAATTTCAGCCACATCAGTCAGTGCCAGGAATCATGCCGGTCTGATTCTGGACATTCTAGGCTTGGTGGCAGGGAGTCAAGAACTCATAGAGCATCTCCCCACCACCCTCAAGGACTCCTATATTAAAATGATAGGAGAAGCCTGCTCTATTATTTAAATCTTATTCAGTGATGGAGAAAACATCAGCCTGCCCTCCAGGTTGGTCTTGCATTCAGAGACTTCTTCCTCTTCTTCTCTTGCATTTTTCATTCTGGGACCCACCAACCCACATCTGGAGACTAGCCTTTGTATACTGTAGGTGTCACTAGAATCTTTATTCTTTAGCCCAGAAAAGATTCCAAATTCAAACATTACAGGCATTTGGGGTGAGGGCAGGCGATGACTTGCCATGTGGCATGCCGGGCATTTTCCCAGTGGAATGATAGGTTTGTGGAGGACCACTTAGCAAAAATAGTCACGGGACACCAAAGTCCAGGACAAAAGCTAAGCACTGAATGGAAAATTAAGTGGTAATTGGTTTTCATGATTCTATCATCCAATTAGATTCTAGAGAATAAAAAGTGGGTGAGATGCCATATGTGGACTGCTCTTCCTACAGGTGGGACCTCCTGGGTTATACACATAGCTCCAATTCAATGAAAGAGTCTAGGCAGAAAATGGGTGTATGACAGGACAGGCTCACTGAGCCGATCACAAAAAGCCCCTTGTGCCTCATACAGCTGCCTTCCCCAGCCCGGAACGAGAGCTGAAGCTGCAAAGCCTGAAACATGCAGACGAATGTCAAAGATTAACAGCCACAGAGGGGCCCTGATGACGCTACTCACGCTTTTAGAAAAACAAGTCAACACTTTAAGGAATTCAGTCCTCAGAATGTTAAATGACATTGTGTGCTTTGATTCTCAACAGCTGATTTGTTTTGGCCAAACAGCTCTACGACGCCCTCTGCGGGGTTCATTACCTGTGCCATGTCATCCAGACAATTGAAGATGTACTTCCTGGCCTCCTTTGACTTGATCCCCGTCTCCGCTTCATGGTCCTCAGGTGTCTGGGGAAAAGCCAGCAACAAGATGACCATTCTGCCCTCCTAAAATCTCCCTATACACCCCCCTCAATGGGCCTTCCGGTGAGCATGAACACTACAGTCTGGATTGTGCTGCTGGGATGGCAAAACATCAATTTAGCACCAAGAGAAGGAGACACTTCCAGACATAAGAATGAATGAGATACAATAAAACCAGCATTGATGATTATGAAGGGAAGCGTTCTAATCATTGAAGATGGAGAAGGTACATTACAGATTCAAGCCTCGGTCACAGTGTCTAAGGCTGTGCAGGCCTTGGTTACAAAGAGTCTAAGGCCAACTCATACTTCACTTTTCCATGTGCGCTTTTGGTTCTGGACAAGGATAAGTGATAAATTTCATCATCAGGGGTTGGCTGGAGACGACTAAGGTTGGTGCGCATGTAGCCCAGATTTTTGTGTGTACCGGAAACCATGCGCATCCGTGTACATCAACCACGCATGTACAGAACAATTGATTAAGTATTTCCAGTAGGTGGCAGTGCTGACTTTCAGAGATCAGCAGCCAACAACAAAAGAGTAGAGGAAGAATAGCTATTGTTGTAGCAATTATGGTAAGCAGTTGTATGAGGAGGGAGAGGAACCCAGATATTGAATTGTTCATACTGCCCAGACATGGTACCGAGGGGTACAGCATTTTGAAAAGCAACACTATTCCAGTATTTTTAAGATTTGCCAAGTGGGTGGAGGGGGTGGTCCTCCGGTTGATTTTGTCAAAATACCATGGTATGCCTTACTACCATAATACTGCCTAATACCTTTAAAATTGTTCATAAAAATTTACTCATTTCACTACACTGCAATATATTTGCCCTTTCCTGGTCAGGTGGAATATCACTGCTGTATGCATACATCGACCACGACCATCCGCATCTGCAGTCAAATGTAGCACACAGAAAAGTGAAGTATGAATTGGCCTTAAGGCTTAAGTCACAGACAGTGCATGCCTTGCTTACAGAGAGAGTATGGCCTTAGTAAGAGAGAGAGCTGCATTCCATTTACCTCAGAAGTTGGAAGTTGGAGCTGGGAATGACATCACAGCCGAGTTAACCTCGTTCCCATACAACAAGTCGGAAAGCCATTCAGCAATTCCAGGGAGCCGTTTCAGATAGCAGGATTTCTTGCTTAGCCAGATAACTTGTCAAATTTAAGGTACCCCAGTTTAAATGGCCATTATCTTCTATTACTAACATTTATCCCAGACTACCTTAAATCCGATAAATTATCCGGCTAAGCAAGAAATCCTGCTTTCTGAAACAGGCCCCAGTTCTAGACAGGTTCATTGTTATCCATTGTTGCAATATGAGTTGATAACACATTACACGGTATTTTGCACATACAAACATCATAGCAACAGATAGCAGTTGGACAGTACTATGTGTACAATCAATTTAATGAGCCAAAAATAAGACATAAGTGCTAATAAACAGTATACAACTACAGCTTTCACTTCTGTTGATGAAGGGAACAGCCATCTTGAATTCTGAGGTCGGTGTTGCAGAGGTTCTTTCAACTTTCCGAGGGGGAATTTCTGACTAGAACTCGGAATTCCAACGTCAAAGTTCAAATGGAACGCAGCATTAGTTACAAATTGTCAAAGACTGTGCAGGCCTTGGATGCAGAAAGTCTAAGGGTGCTTTTCCACTGCACCAGGTACCATACTTTTGGTACTCCAAGAAAGTACCAAAAGTACAGTACTTCAAGGTGTTGGTTTTCCACTGGTATAAACACTGGTACCGGTGCTGAATTACATCACAAAGTGAGGCAGGGTATTTTGTACTGAATTTGAAAAATGGCTGGACTGGATATTAATACTGACATTGCATGTTATGCACATGCAGTTCTTGCATGCAATTCAGCTAGATTGAGCTCAGGCCTTTTCATTCCTTCATACTGTATGGACATTGTAGTGCAGGGGGTTTAAGCTTTACTAAAACATTTTTACTGTGTCAGAGGGGGGAAAAAAACTCAGCAAGCTTTGCAATTTTAATGATTATTCCATTTCAAGATTATCTAGTACATAATCTTTAAAAAAAAAAAAAAAAAAAAGTTTCTTACACTTTACATGCCTTCTCCGGGACAAGCATAATCATTTTCATCCTTGCCGTTTAAAACACTTTGAGGGGTTGCTTTATAGATACCTCAATAGTTACTACAACATAATCACATGACCATACGTGGAACTTTTCTAGTACCATGCTGTCCTACTATATTATACAAAATACTCAGTTAACTGAGAACTTTTTTCAATATCGTGGTGGTATTGTGTTTAGAGGCAATCTATTTGCATAGCCAAGTGAGACTGAAAGCATTTCCAAGTCTCAACTGAAAGTACTGAAGTACCAAAAAAGTACCCTAGCTGGATTGGTACTTTAGGTACTGGAACTTCTGGTACTGGTACTTGCCTGGAAGTCAATGAAAAGAGAAAGTACCGAAAATACAGCACCAAGAGAACGGTACCTGGTTTGGTGCAAAAAGTCCCTAAGGTTGAGCAGGCCTTAATTACAGAGAGGCTAAGGTCTTAGTTACAAAGCATCTAAGGCTGTGCAGGCCTTGGTTACAGAGAGTCTAAGGCCTTGGTTACAGAGAGTCTAAAGGTTGGTTCATACTTCACCGTACAAGAGCAACAGTCACGTATCCACTCTAAGTATGCGTACATGGAAACATTCATAGTTCTCTGGTCAAGCCACGTACTTTGCACTTGCACAAAACATGCTGTATTTATATTTTTATTAATAGTAATATTAAAAATATAAATTATTATTCTGATATTCCCTGCACACGTACCACAGCAGTGAGATTTGGGTCCAGTTCTGTCTGTCTTACAAATTCAGAGAGGCAGCTCACGGGGTTGCTAACTTTGATTAGCTGCCTGGAGTGAGATTTTCAATTCGAGACAAGTCTGCACTCACACATACACACTTTTACATGTATGTAACAGTTTTATTACCTTTTAAATAGTCTATACAGTTTTCAAACTACCCCAACACATCCATGTTGGTATATAAAGTGGACACTAGTGAATTGATCATGCTCAGTGTGTCCAGAGCTGTGCGTACACAGCTGTACAGACACATACTTGGAGTGCAGCAAGCGTTTGTCCACAGAGGTGCACAATGACGTCAAATGTATCAAACTTTCGAGCGGACATGTCCACTATTACGTGTGTGGAGAAGTATGAACCAGCCTTATGAATGGGCAGGGTCTTGGTTACAGAGAGTCTAAGGCTGTGCAGGCCTTGGTTAGTCAGTATAGAATATACACAGCGCAGCCACATAATACATGCCATAGCCTACGCCATAGCCTGATGTAGTTGTATTTCTGGAGAGGTACACATGTCGCAGCAACACAGATCGCAACAACTGTGTTTTGTTCACTTGGTAGCATTGCACTTCCTCCTATGCATATGTTGTTTGTTCTTTGTTTCCAGCTAGGGGGATTTTAGTGTGGGACAAGTTGTCTAACTTTTCCACTGTTTTTGTCACAGTTGCAGCCATTCACGCTGTTACAAAAACACAGTTGCAGCCATTCATGCAGGGCTGTATGACATTAGAAAATTTCAGGTGTCACTTTTTTTTTTTCTTTTTGCGATATAATCGGCATTATTTATAGAGCGAAAAAAGCAACAGGAGTAAACTTTTTTGGTTTTGGTGGTGTAATTGCAGAGTGACACAGACACCAGCTCAGAAGTATAAATGCTTGCAATGGTACAGGCTACTTCCATAGGCCACACTAAGCTCTGCGTAGGCTCCACACAGAAGCATAAGATACCCTTAAGGCCTTGGCTACACAGTCTAAGGCTGTGCAGGTCTTGGTTACAGAAAGTCCAAGGCCACGGTTACAGTGAGTCTAAGGCTGCATGTACACTCAAAAGCAATCTTCTAGTGTGGTAGAGGCCAAGGAAGGTAAAAAGGACAAAAATGGCTATATTCAAGTAGGACATAACATGACAGATGAAAACCCTTCAATGTGATCCAACTTCAATTGCATCTAGGCAAGATGCAGAAATTAAAACTCTACCAAGTTCTTCTCTAGGTTGGTTAGCTGCATGGCAAAGGCTGCTCATGTTGTCCAATCCTCGCCAATGAAATCCATTCTTCTCTCGTTAGCCTGGAATTTTATTTACAACACACTGTAGGTCCATTTGTTTTTGCACACAAAGAACATCTGCTTTACTTTGCGTAGATAAGACTCTGGGCTGGGGTGAAATCGAGTATAGAATATTCCGCAGAAATGCTGTGTGGACACATCACACCACAGCTGACAAGTTCAGACCCAACCCAAACCAACATTTAGGACCAAAACTAATGGATTAAAAAACAGCTTATTTTCACAGGCAGTCAAATGCAAAACCTCCTCCCCCTCGACCCAGATTTAATGAACCCCTACCCCAAAAACTAAAAGTTCATTACTCCCTGTCACTTTTTTTCCACTTGCACTTTATGTTATCATTTTGCACCAGTACTTTGGTACATACTATCTCACTGTGCTATGTTATCTATGTTTGTTCATATTTATGTCTACATTTGTTATGTCATTTACTATGCTGACAATCCTAGACCAAAAATGGTGTTTCGTTTCTTTTTTTAAATAATGACAAAGATCTATTCTATTCTATATTTCAGCTGTTTTGCCTGAGATACAATGTATACACTGACTTCGCTCACTGCACTGTGACCGTACCTTAAGTCTCCACAGAGGGTACGTGGAGTCTGGGTCCCTGTGAAAGAAACGAGTCGTCTTCGTCCCTGCGCTCAGGAGGTACTCTGCTGGCAGGCCCTGTGTTTGGGAGATGTAGCGGATCTGGACCAAGGGACACGAATGGACACAAACTGCATCATGAACGGCTTAGCATTGCCCTGTACTATTTTTTTGTAAGACTAGCAATTCCCTATGTAAACCATTATTTAAAGAAAGTATAGGATTCTCAGGCAGCATTTGCAGAGCCATTGTGGAGGTATCAATATGACTTCCTGAAGCAGCTGTTTAGTGGGTAAATGAATGCAAACACTATGCCTGAAACAAATGCTAATTTTGGACTGGCACAGTATCTTCCTGCAAGGGCTGTGGGTTGAGCCTCCAGGAAAGCTAATTTAGAAGCTCCTGTTCTTCATGCATCAACAATTTATGCTTGATGGTTGGAGGGAGAGAAGGGTTACAAAACATTCAGTCAAGAATCTTAAACTGATAGACTGATGGTGGAAAATTAAATTCAGTCCAAGTTGCATTTTAGCACTTCTTGGTATTTTCTGACATGTCTACTGGCTACAGCAAGAGATTAATTTGAGCAGGTACATAGGCAGAGATGATCTACCAAGCAGATTCTAACTGAAAGCGCTCCAGTGAGTCTGCCCATCCTACAGTGGGCATGAAGGTGACCCACCCCAGATACTCACCTGATCATACTCCGATGCCCCCGGGTACAGCGGCCAACCCAAGAACAACTCAGCAATAACGCAGCCCAGGGACCACATGTCAATGGCCTCGCTGAAAGGTAAGCCCAAAATGATTTCAGGGGCTCTGGAGAAGGGATAGACATAGAGAACAAAATCAATGCTGGGTCAGAGGCCAGGTTAACAAGCAGTAGGGTCACCAAGGGTTGCATCCTAGGGCAAGCACAGAGTAAAGGGTAACACAGTATACTGCCATCAGATTCCAAGGGAATATTAACCTGTTTGACATCAGGGACAGAGCGCCCTGACGTCAGTTTTCCTTGGGGAATGTTGTTCTCTTCTCAATACCCATTCATTAGACCCAATCCTGGACCAAAACACAAGAAATCAGGCTTTCAGATATTTTTAAGCCACTGAAATGCCACTAGGAATACGTACATGAAGAATAGAGGGTTAAAGAAACGGATCACTCTGAACCACAAATAGGACCTCCAAAAATGGAAGGCAGAAGATTCAGTGGCTAAACAGCCAGATGTTTCCATAGAAACACGTCTTTATATCAAAGATACCAGGGTCCGCACAACAAAAAGTGGACCACAAATGGTAAAAATAGTGCATATGGTACTCTGCAAAGGCATGTCTGGTCAACAAAAGCAGCTATTAGCATCCTGATAAAACTTTGAGTGGAATGCAGTGGCGTAACTATAGCAGGTTCAGCAGGTGCGGTCGCACCGGGGCCCGTGATCTCTGGGGGCCCGTAACTACCTCAGACCCGCCTCCTTAAAAAAAAAAAAAACCTCAGCATTAAAATCCAACCATCAAATAAAAACAGCTAAACAAAGTTATCATCTTTCATTGTCGCCAAACTGTCATGTCAGAGTATATTTGTTTCTACTGAGATACAGCAAGGGTTTCTGGGAAGGCTAAATGTTTTATTGTGATTTTTTGAATGGATAGCTGCACATTGCAATCATCGTGCTGACCAAAACAAGTAGCATGCCCTTCAAACCCAAGAGCGGCTGCAAGAAGCGCCAGGAACGTAGAGAGCTAGAGGAAAGGGTGGCAAAACTCCCGAAATTAGACCAATTTGGATTTTTAACCAAGAGTGGTCGTGAGGAGGACAGGACACGTAGCAGCAGTAACTGTGAACTGTCATGCAACAGGTAAGCTCTGGACCAGAAGCTAGCCTAACATATAACACAGAACATGTTTGATTTAGACTAGGGCTGGGAATTTAGCTCATTAATTAGATTAATTAATCACAGAAAAAGTATGGAGTAAACAGCAGGAGATCCGAGTCCCAGATCGCTGCTGCGTGAGCCAGAGCGCAGTTCGGTTCAGTGAGATTTGGAAGAAAAAAACGCCAAAATGGCTAATAAATGATGTCTTATTAATGTTTTTTGCCGATTATGACGATATTTTCCTTTTGGAAAAGACGCTCGCGCGTCTCCCGGTTCAACTTTGGAGCGCAGCTGAGTGGCCATGCAAGGCGAAAGTGGTCACGAAGCACAAACACACGTTTATTTCAACACTTTGCCCATCGGGAAAGTGTGTGGCATTGGTGAACCTGGTCATAGTGTCTGTAGGAGAGCTGTTGGTCGACCTAGAGGCAGCAGGAGAGGGAAAATTGGCCTGGAATAGCCGCATTAGCTTTATCCATCCAGACCTCCAGAGGGGCGGCGCTGTGGCCGGAGTGTGTGTGTGTGTGAGAGAGAGAGAGAGCTGGGAGACGTAATGTATCAACATTTACAACTGTCATATACTGTAACCTAATTCATAGGTTTGGTTCAGTCAGTGATAAAAATGCCATGACCATTGTACCCTAAGTTATAGGCTTGTATTCAATAATTAATGGTAAAAAAAAACTGCTTCTTGTAACGTCTGTATGTATGTGCGATTAAATGCGATTAATTAGATTAATTTCACAGAAGTCATCAATTCTGCAACTTGCCAAAATGCTAGTGGTAGATTATGACAGCGTAACATCCACATTCGGGGAAGTGTGTACTGCTCTCATGTTGTTTCTGACATTGCCTGTGACTGTGGCAACAGCTGAGCGATCATTTTCCAAGCTCAAACTTATTAAGACCAACCTAAGGAGCAGCATGGGGCAGGAGAGGCTCAGTGGGTTAGCTATCCTGTCCATTGAAAACACAAGAGCCAGAGCATTAAATATTAGGGACATTGTTGATGATTTTGCACAACGTAAGGCTCGTAAGATGGCCTTCTAGTGGCCTAATTCACACATATTGGGGGTTGTATGCATATGAATCATTTTCTTTTTTCTTTTTTTTCTGCACAGTTAAATAAGTTGGATTAAGTTTTGTTTCTGGGCAGTGCGAGTTTAAGCAAGCTTTCTACGCTTGAAGTTTCAGTGTTGAGTGTTTCAGTGCTTTGAGTGTTCCCATATTTCCATGCGAGTTGATGTTAATGCGGTTATATTAGATTACCCTGTAAATTGGTATTAATAACAAACATTTTTAAAATGTTTTCACATGTAATGGATCCTATGTAGTACAGTATTTTTGTATTTATAATTACAATCTATATAAACTACCTCTGTGCTTCTGGTTCTTTGCAGAGAGGATTGTAGTCACCCTTAATGTACGTGTATTGCATGTATCAGAGCTAAAACATCCTCGGGATAAATTTGAAAAAGTATAAGGGCCCGGATTGAATTTTCGCACCTGGGCCCATGACTATGTTGTTACGCCACTGGTGGAATGGGATTGAAATGAAAATACCACCACTACACTCCATAATGCTTAGTCTCCCACCAGATCATTCTGGATGATTCCCTTTATTCCTTTCCACGGGTTTATTGTACTCTAGTGCAGCGATTCCCAATCCTGGGCCTTCCATGGCTGCAGATGTCAGTTTTTTCATGTACACTCTTATGCACAACTTTAATTCGTTATTTAGACAGATGAGCAGGCCATCTCATCTAGAGTTTCAGGTGTGAAATAGTCACTAATTAAAAGCTTACACAGCCCTGGAGGATCATGGAAGCATGGAATCCAAGTTCCGCTTCCTCTATAGACACCAGAACCCAATCTCTTCACTGGGGAGCAGTCATACTGGTCAAGGGAAGGAGGTCACTGATCCACTTGGAAGAATCTGGTCATGCAGGGGCATGAGGCCAACCACTCCGATAACCTGACAGGCCATTGTCTCAAAATACAGGGAGCCACCCAGTACAAACATGTTCATTTTGCAGAAAGCCTTTTCCTTAAGGTCATTAGCCAACCATGTGTCACATTTCCATTTCAGTTTGAACCATCCCCCCTCCCCTCAATGGGAGGTTTACCTTCTAGTACTTGTGGTGCAGAGCAGGTTGGGGAGGGGGATGGGAGTCATTCTGCCAATGGAATCAAGCTGACACAAATGAGCCACAGTGCGGCCAGCAACACTATGTACTGTACATGCAGCAGAGCAGTAGAAACCAGGACTTGCCAGACCTGTATTGGGTAACCGAACTTAGTCAGTCTCATGAGAATGGTGGTACTTCAGTAGCAATAGAGTACAGTGACCTTGCTATTACACTCAGAATAGGATGGATCCTGTCCCCAACCAGTGGGTTTCCTGTAAGGAGTCTAGGGAATCAGGGGGGCCTGAACTTTCCATTTATCTCGGTGCAGTTAGTTAACCACCATGGCCTTTTGCTGCTGTTTCACTCCACTCCTGGAACCAGAATGCCCCAAGTCCAGAACCCCAGCTCCCAAATAAGCAAAGCCTAGCGCACAAAATATTCTGGAACTCATCCCAGGCCAGACCCCCAAGGTTGGATGGTGGAAAGTCGCTTTCCCACACAGTCGGTGTGCCTCTGACTGATCCAGGCTAACAAACAGCCTGCTTTTCCACCCCCTACCCTGCTCACCCCACAAGCAATTGCAAACAAAGCATTAGGCTCACAAAGGGCTGATCTGGAACTGCCCTTTAATGAAGGCAAGGCATCAATGTACATCTGCCTTCCACTACATGCACACCACAGTGAGCACAAGGTCACAGAACACTCATTAACCCCAATTTGTATATGCATCATTACATATGCATCTGTACCTCCTCCCCAAATATAATTAGCACCTTAAAGAGAGACTGGCCATGCCTGGGAGCCCGCAGGAGCCCACGCCTGCTATCCTGGGGTGGTGTCCCCAAAATTAGCTCTGCAGCAGTCGGCTAGGCTGGGCTAACACTGACCCCATTGCATTACAGACAGTGCAGAGCTCACAGAACATGACACGGTCAAAAAAAAAAATAAAAAAAAAAAAAATCAGGCACTCCTTCACACACCCTTTCCAGGCCCTATGTTGTGAGGCCATAGAAACCCGACCATCATCTAAATAAGTAGTAATACCAAATGACTGTGAGCCGATCAGACTAAGTGCCCTTCTGATGGAACTGAATCGAGGTGGTATGAGCAAGCGACTTGTGAGTGTTCGTGCCATCCTGTGACTGAGAAGAGGAGGGGGGGTGGCTCCTTCCATCACATTCTAGCCGCTCACCGTGGCAATATGTGCCCCCCCCCATTTTTGCTTCGCTTCATTCCAGCTGGCTGTACCTCCAAGGTGCTGGCCGCGTCACTGCCCGCCACACCAAATTGTGCATGCAAATCCCACCCCACCCCCACTCAGCAGCATGCAAAGCTCTACAGCAGCTGAGGAGGAGCAGCTACTGGGGAGGGGGGCTGCTGGACGGGGGCGTGTCTGCAGGTCAACTAGTGATGCCGCTGCTGCTGGAGGTGTCAAGGAGGAAGGGGGGGGGGAGGGTGAAAGATCAGCCTCATGTCTCCATACTAAAGGACACAGCTTTGGTAAAGCCCCTCCTTCTCTGTGCTGCAGACCGGGCTGTGGCTGCTGGGAAACAATGCGGTGGAACAAGCCTGCTCGCCTCCTGCACGGGATGCGTATCCCATTAACAGCTTCGGGGCTCGGACGTCATGGCAACGGAATCACAAAACGGCAGAGTGATGCGCTCATTTGCCTGAACGCTGCTGGGCAGCCTGTCTTTCAATACGTGCTGACATGGAGCCTGGCATATCTTGGATTCCAGTTGCATGCTGGCAGGAACAGAGGTGCTGTGCTCCCCGGGCATACATCCTGTCCAAGACACATGTGACAACTAAATGAT